TAAGTTGCATTTGCATTAAGAAATTTTAACAAATAGAATTTTTTTCATCTTAGAGTAAATTTTCAGTGTGTTAGGTCACTGAAAATTCCACAGACCAAACAATAGTTTTATCATATCGTTTGGTGAAATTTAGTTAAATAACCAGAAAAAATAGGAAACATCAACACGTAACCTACTGGACAAAAAAATACCTTAAATAATTTTTACCTGAAACACAAGGACGAATACCTTAATAATCTGTGACACGAAAAAGATTAGTGTAAACTTCAAATTACTAAGCACACACAGTTGTAATGGTAGAATGTAAAATATAATTTAAAAACTTTTTAAAGATCTAGACTCACCAGCATTGAAGGAATTTATCATGGTAGTCAGTCGAATCTGGTTTCGACAAAGCTGGTCAGAAAGGCCAACCAAGTGGGGAAATGCACTCTTGATATCTTTCAGGCACACTGATATCATGTCTGTCTGCTTTACCTGAAAAAAAAAAAACAATAAATAACTAAGTCCAAAATCTTTTTTGTTTTAATTTCCTTTTATTGAACAACCTTTCCAATTCATAAAAAATTTCAAAAATTAATGGTTTTCAATTTTTTTAATTCTTTAGCTTATTTTAAGGAGAATAGAGCAAAGCTTCTATCTGCTTAAACAGTCGCTATTAGACCAGGACCAATAAGATTCTAGTTTTTTAAGACTAGAATCTTAAATATTTAAGACAAATAAGGCAAATCTTGTACCTTAAATGCATTGTGGGACAAAACTGCTTCATGATACATCCGTTGCCAATAGAATACATCTTTCTTCAGTTCGGCGTTTAGCTTTTTTTCGTTGGTAAAGTTCTCAATGATTTCTTGATTTTTAGCCTCCAAAGATTCCTTTTCTGTAACAGCAACAGTTTTCAGATTTTGTAACTGCACCATCCCTTGCAAATTAATGTTTAAAACACTCTAATTAATTGTTAAATGTTTTCGTGCGCTATGTGTGTGTATTTATTTAAATGTTTCTTGACGACTCCATCATGGATGAAGACAAAGCATTCTTGCTAGGATATCACCTGACGATGCCTAAATAGGCGAAACATGTAGCGAGTTCTACTTACGACAATTGAACTGTTGACGTAAAGATATGTACCTCATATAAGTTTAAAACACTTTTGTGATATTAGTTTTATTATGTGATTGCACTTAACACCTACGCTCTGACAATTATCCCCTTGATTTTTACAGTTTCTAAAAACACCTTTGTGGACAGGTGTACACACAGTGGTCCCTAAAACCTAGACGTGTACCTCTGGTGGACAGTGTTACTATGGTGATTTAACACTACAAAACGGCATCCGTATGTACCATCATTGTCTTTTAGGCAACAGTGGCTAATCATCAACTAGCTGAGCTAGTCTCTGATATTGATACTCAAGTAGATATCATTAGAACTTCATGATGCACAGTTTTAGGTACTGTAGTCCTGGCGTGGCACATCAATGAGGGTTACATAGAGAAAACGACAGGTTGACAAGTACAACGGGTGGTACACGGTTTTATTAGCATATACTGTAACTTATCACTTGGTAAATGTTTTACTTTACGGACACAGGGGATTTTACCTTAAAAATTTGGTGAGGTTAAGCAAAATTATATCTAGATCTTGTCAAATTTTCAATAGAACCACCGAAAAGAGTGTAGGTATTTAAAAAACAAATATAAGTGTTGAAGTGTTGTAAAATTAAAGGCTACGGAGAAAATTTAAAAAAACTGTAAATTTAAGATTCCCATTTTATTATTAAAGGAGGAAAAAATCTGTTGTAATTTGCTTGTTTATGAATATAGGAATATGCCATATCTTGATCAGATTTGGCAAATTTATTTATTTCAAAACAGCCTTTTAATAGACTATTAACGTAAGTTATTAACTTAGCTCATTTGGGCATGAAAATAATTTTTACCTTACCCATAGCAGCAAACCTAAGTAAGTACTTGTTAACTATTATTTAAATGGTGAATATATTATAGGCTACCTATCGTATGTGTTATAATATATGTATATATACTACTATTAAGTTACATGAGTAATCTAGCATGTCATAAATAAGGTTGGACAAACTGGTTACGTATTTAACTTGTATTTTTTGTACAACCTGACAACTTCCAGTTTCTTCCCATGCTCATGTAATTGAAAGCAATGTGACCGCCGTGTATGATGTAACTTATACTTTAATTATTATCCAAATAAATGTTGTATTTAACAGCTTGTAGTTTTTCACCACCCCAAGTGGCCAACAATAATGTGGAAATATTTGTAAATAAATCAAATCCAGACAAACTGAAATTTACTAAAGTCTACAGGTTTACTGGCGGGGGTATTAATAAATAATAATAATTTAAGCTAGCCTACAATCTTACCATCCAGAAGGGCTGAGACGCGGCGACGAAGCATTGATAAACGTTTATGATGGTCTCTGCAGCCATTTTTCTTCATAGAATTTTCTTTTTTTACTTTTATTCCAGGTTGTAACGATTCTTTTTTTGTTTTTGTGACTCTCAACTTACCCATCTGAAAATGCAATAACTTAGAAACTACCTTGTGTAACTTACCTATCTATATTGATTTGTTTTATGGACGCATCTGTCTTTAGCCCAGAAAATAAATTTCTCAGGACGGATATATCCGTTTTCAGCCCGGAAAGTAAACAAAGATTGAGAGATATATATGTCCATAGCCCTGGAAAAGTTAACTTAGTGTTTGACAGTTCGAACTAATAGCAAAAGGATCCTAGGTAAATAAATAGAATTGAGTGGGAGACTTAAATCAAATAATTACTACGTTAATTAGGCTACCCTAGCTACTATTTACTGATCCTGCAATCAGTTGCTAAAAATCGATGGTAAATAAGGAGGCCTGATTTAATGAAATTTTGTTTTCAAAATGGTACCCAACTTAAGTAGAATGAGCAGATAGGCCTAACTTATTTAGTTCACCAAGCAATTAGGCCTAGCTCTAGATTACATAAAACAATTTATCCAAATATCAATTAAACAAGAGGCTAGTTTAGTTCATAGTTCACTTTGTATTAAGTAGTAAAGTATCTATCTTACTCTCTAGCCAGTTTAAACTTGAACGAACTCAACAAACGAACCACTGAACCAGATTATTGAACTTAAGTTGTAAAAGCTTACCAATAGTCAATGGCTGTACAGTCCTGAAATGTTTATATCATGTCTTAAAACACAGTAACTTACTCTAATCACATACGTTATTTAGGCACCTTGTGAGAACTTAAGTCAACTAAAACTAAAACTAACCTTTCGCGATTACGATTGAGGTTTTTATTTTATTTTAAAACTTGCAAAAACAACCAAAATAGATAAAGATAACAATTATTGGCTCTTGTGTTGTGTCGTGTCTTGATATTGTCGTCAGCCAGTAAAGTAAAACCAAACCAAACCGTCCAAACCAAACCATCAAACCAAATCAAACCAAAGCAAAGAAGAAAGAAACTAAATAAACCATAGTCAAAGTCAAAGGTACTAGAAAATAAAAAGCCAAGACATGGAAAACAATAAGGTTGGGCATTGGTTATGTAAAGAAGTTCTATAATTAACCGAAGTAGAACATTACGTATAGTTTAGTTTCCTGTTTCAAACTGTTTTTTTTTTTTTTTTTTTTTTATTCCCAGACAGTATTCTGGAAGTAAAGTGAGAAATATTTGATGCCACCTGCCTCATGATGTGACATGGAGTACTTCAAGCAGAAAGTAGAGGGTCGTGGGTCGTGATTTAATTTGATTCTTGTCTACTGTTAATACTGTTCTATGAAATGGTGACCATACAAAGTAGGTATTTTAAGCCAAGTATGAATGGAGATGAGTGTAGGGTGAGTGGGGCGATCTTGTAGTCTTGTTAGTGACTAAGGCCGACATTCCTTTTAGACACAGCTGTTAATTAATAGCCCATACAGCTAATGGCAACTAAGGGATCTACAGTTTATAGTGGAATCCGAACCACATTTTTGCCTTAGTGATTGATTGTCTCAATAATTTCGAAGTTTAGTAGAGTGGCTTGTTGAACATAATCGTTAAGGAAAATAGTGAAGATCATCATTATATGATAAAATTATTGCATGATAGCAATAGACCTACGAAAACGATAAAGCTGCCTCAGACTGAGACTCATCTTTGGCACCGAGAGGATGCCTCGTTAGTCGTCATATCATGGGCGAAAAATCTGGTTTTGTACACAGTGTGTGTGTATGTGTAAATGCCAACTCGACGTGGCTCTCACCAACGAAAAACCGAGAGTTCAGAGTGGCAGAGATTTTAATTGCCGAGCGTGGATAACTATTCAAGGTACCGTAAAACTGAGTGAATAACAAAACATTTTCTATAGTCATAATTTATTATATTATTATTATGAATAAATTATTATAACCTTCTTTGCTCCATCAACCAAGCTGCTGAACACAAAGGATAACATACAACAATTAATTGAGGCTAAACCGAAAAAACTATTTAACTACAAAAAAATTATCTTGATCAGTTTCAGTTACAGGTACCTATGTGATTTCTAAGGATTCAAGGATTTATATTGAAGTTTTTAATATCACAATGAAAATTTGCTATAGAATGTTTCTGTAAAATTTCAAACCTTTCCAAAATGTATATAAAAAAACTTGCAGTGGTCCATCTTTATCCAATAAATAAACCAATAAATAAAATACTACTTAATACAGTGTACTTTGCAAATTGTAATTTAATTTTTTAATATGGAATCATCCACTTATATATGTTCCTCAAACTGTTGTAATTTATTTCCAAATTTCTATCGGCTGATCTATAAGGATGAAAATTATTCTCTAATACAATATCTTCACTACTTTATACCAACGGTATACTATATAGTCTGGACTCAAGTGTTTAGACAAGAGATTATAAAGGCTTTAAAATGACGGCTGTCTGCTATCTCATCTGACAATTGCTTACGCATGACGCATGCGCACAAATGGAAATGACAGTTTACCATCTCGTGGAGAGAACGATAAACATTTTGTCAATAAGTTACACAGCAATATTTGCATGAAATTCTTGTGATTTGTTGTAATAAATCCTGCAATTAACCATGGCTGATAACGAAGCCAAAGCTATGCAGCTCATGGCTGAAGCAGAGAAGAAACTGACTTCATCCAAAGGATTTTTCGGGCAACTCTTTGGGTAAGTTGAATAGAAATCCAAATCTGTAGACATCTACCTCCATCGATCGGGCAATGTCCTCCCTGTGTAATCGAAAACTTCATAAACCGTTTCTTTACACTAGTAATGATAACAACTTGCATATTCTAAAAGTTCTTGTGGAAAAGTATGTTTAGCCTACTTCTTACTTTTCACAAAAATAGTTGTTGTCAGGTTGTAGCAAAAGAAGCAGAAATTGATCTGATGATCCTATAACTTTTGTTGCTCTAGAGGTCTAGTAGGCCTATGTTCATTCTTTTAGGATAGTCCTAGCTTATTCCTAATGTTAAGTTTCTAACAATTTGTTTTTAACATCAGTAAGAGCAAATTTATGGGTTAGGCCTCTCTTAAAATTTCTTAGCATATTCTGTTTTTCTTCTAAAAAATATTCAATAAGCAAAATATCATAACAATCAACTCTTCACCAATTAATAACTTATCTTATTTAGTCGCTTGTCACCTCATGCTCAATGTTTCGGAGACTGAAAACAATAGATTGGGTTTTTTCTTGATTCAAAAAGAGATAGTTTGCCCGGAACCAGGTAGATGCATCATTTAACTTAGATATTGTTTTAAAAATAAGTTCAACTCTACAGCACTATTTCTAGCTTCAAAAATTGTAGTGTCGTCTGCATAGCAAACAACACCATTAGGCCTACCAAAGGCACATGGGGGGGTCTTTAATCATTATATTGAAAAGCAGGGGCCCGAGTACAGAGGTCTGTGGAACGCCATGTGTTATGTTTTTGATAGGCTACTTGAGATTTTACCATTCAGGGACACCAGCTGCCCAGGCTTGGCCAGATAGGACCTCAGCAAATCAAGGCTTTTTTCAGCAAATCGAGGCTTTTTTCATTCAAACCATAGAAATTCAACTTTTTAAATAAAGTTTCACGGGCAATAGTGTCAAAGGCCTTGCTAAGGTCACACAGGGTGGCCCTAGCAAAACCGCCACTTTCAAACGACTAAAAATAGGCTTAGCCTAGTTAAAGAGTACACTGCATCTATTATGCTGCGGCCTGGCCTGAAACCGAACTGATTCTACTTACTTACTTACTTCCTTCCGGTATCCTCGCCACAATCGTGTGATCGGGGAGTCGTCAACTTTCTTCCTTTTTCGGGGTTTTCTGTGTTCAGGTTTCGTGTATTTATGTATTTATGTTTTATGTATGCGTGCTCCTTTATGTATTCTTTTATTGAGTCGTACGGCCTTGCAGTTAGATACAATTTTATTTTTTTTTTCAAAATTGGGTGTGTTTGATTTTAGGTGTTGGGGTAATTGATTGTACATTGATCCAGAGTATGTGGGTGTGTTGTTTGTTTTTTTAAGTCTGTGTTGAGGTATGTCTATGTTTGTTTTACTTCTGGTGTTGTGGTTGTGCTGTGATTGTCTTAGGTTGGGATTGGATCGGATGGTAAGGATTATGGTTTCGCAGATATAGAGTGAGATTAATGTCATTATATTGAGTTGGATGAAATTGGATGAAATATGAGTTGGATAATCTAGCTTAAGCCTACTGTACTCAAATTGGTAGGCTAACTTTACTTAAGTTATGTGTTGGATCTTAAGTTCAAATGCCCCTTCGTGAATTTAAATTTTGAAAGGCCTAGGCCGATTGTATTTTATAGTCTTAACTCACCTCCTAAATACAAATACCATTACTTATTTTTTTAAATCAAATACTTATTGTTAGGGGAAATCATTTCTCAAATATAATCATAATAATAAATGGTAGGCCTATTTATTCAGCAAGCGTCTTTCAGATTTGTACAATTCTGCTTTAAAACGACTCCTTGTCATTATCCTACTTAGGCCTAAACTATAAATAAAAAACAATCTATCAAAAAAACTTTTAAACAATCTAAAAACAATATATATATACAGGGGATATTCAGTCGATCCTGTGAAAAGTGTGTAGCTGTTTGATGGTTTGAAACTTGACCCAGCTTTCCTTTATCATTGGGCTTCCAATAAATGGTCCTGAATAATGAAACACCTGGTCTTAGTGGGTAACAAAGCAAGACATCACACTCCAATTCAACACTCATCCTTCACTCATATTTGGGTTAAAATACGCACATAGGGTGGCATCTGCATCTCAAATGAATATATAGATAGGATTGACAGATTAAATACATATAGCCTATGTCTTATTTAGTCATGTGAGGATGTCAGTATGGGATTTATGGGAATTCGGGGCTGTATTACAGTAAGCGTTTTGAAGTTAGGTTCGATCAGGAAGGTAAAATTTAGGTTAGGCCTATAATGAACCGAGTAGTTTAAATAGTCAACAATTAACAGTGTCACTAAACATTAGCACTCAATAATTACCATTTGATACACAACTTGAAATTCTTGTCAATGTGAAATTGATTTCTGATTTAATCATATTTTTATAGTATAATTTATCTTACTTCCAAATTTCAGTGGATCATCAAAGGTGGAGGAGGCAGTTGAATGCTACCAACGGGCAGCGAACATGTTCAAGATGGCCAAGAAGTGGGGTCAGGCAGGCAACGCCTTCTGTGAGGCCGCAGCCTTGCACTCTAAGGCGGGCAGCCGACACGACGCTGCTACAAACTTTGTGGACGCCGCCAACTGCTATAAGAAGTCTGATCCTAACGGTAAGTTAGGTTAACAGAAAACAATGAATATAGATTTTACCTCTGTCAAGTTTATTTTGTCCTTAAGACACCTTAAGAGGTGAGTTGGTGGTTCAGTCGGTAGCACAGTGGACCAGGATTGCCACCCGTCCTGTTTTCGGTCCCTTGTGCATGTATACCCATGTTAATCCAGGGTGAGGGGGCCCCATCCCGATTTTTCCCCCACGCAAAGGTGGCAACCCTACAGTGGACTGTGAACCCATGGCAGCGATGTCTTGGATTCATGTCACGGTTTCTTAATTTAAAATATTTTAGTAGGCTATGGTCAACTCCTCATTATTGCACCTTCTGGTTTTGCAAGACTTAATTTACTCACAGGTTTTGTGGACAGGCAAATTTAACATTAAAAAGGATGCCAACCTCAAAAAAACTGTAGTTTTTTAAGTCTAAACTTAAATCACCAGGTGGTTGAACATTGAACATACACATTCAAACGAACAAAGACATACTTTAAGATTTAAAAAGTACATAGACTGGCCAGCTCAGCTTATGGGCTGAGTTGATGCTACTAAAGGGTAAATGAAGTAGCAAAAATAATAAAATAAGGAGAAAAGAGATTAACACAATGTTCTTACAGATGACATTAAAATGTCCATCCATCGTTTCTAAGCATTCTATTGAGGTTGCATTTTTTAATTAGAGCTTCTACCAAATGCCTACAGGGATCAGCATTTTTATGATTTTTTTCCTATGCTATACCTATAGTACAAATTCTGTTTTACGCCTCTGTTTCAAAATTCAAAAAGAAAAGCTAGGCCTAATTTGAGGAGTCTTAACTGTTATTTCATGTAGAGTTTAGTTGCCCAAATACCAAATAAAAATGTACTAGGCCTAGCCAAAATCAATTTTCCATCATAAATCAATTACTCGGACATTCAATGTCGCCGCTGTAGATTCAAGTATTATTTCAAAATATTCTTATAAGTAGTTTATTACACTGTTGTTTTTGCCCAATCAGAGGCCGTCAACTGTCTGCTGAAGGCAATCGAGATCTACACTGACATGGGAAGGTTTACAATGGCCGCCAAGCACCACCAGACCATCGCAGAGATGTACGAAACAGAAGCGGTCGACCTCGACCGGGCTGTACAGGTGATTAATTTTGGCATTTGTTGTAGAAATAAATAAGTTTTACTTTTTTAACTAAGCTTAACTTTGTCTATTTTTTCATTTTTTCTCATCTTATAAACACAAAACTCAATTCTAATAAAATAAGTCTTTGGTGGACATTTGCTTGGTGAGGATAGAAGATAAATGCCAGCAAAATGCCTGCTCAGATTTACAGCTAATAAGCAATCCACCTATCTCATTAGCTTGTCCCTCCCAACTAGCTCCGATGCAGTCATGAGCCGCACACATGACTTGTCTGAGGTTCTCTCCTCGCCTAAGCTTTAGACGGTTGGAACATTTATCTTACATAGAGGTTTAGCACAACAGTGATATTTAGTCATTCTAAGCTAACCTCCAAATATGCAGGACATGTTGTTTAGAATTTTTGCTGTCACTGTTTGCTTCTTATCCAAAGATAGCTGTTATCACATTATTAGTCATCGCTAAGTCTATCAATTGTTGAGTCATCACTTCGTCTTATAACATAATCCTACTAAGGTATTGATTGACATTTAAATTGACAAAACTGAAAACTCTCAGTTTTTAAATTAAACATAACATTTAGCAATTTTTTTGGATATTTAATAATTGTCAAAGAGTGGTTCTACAGTCTTATATAAAAATGGCACTTGCATTTAATCTGAAAAAGTAGTAAAATTGATAAGGTTTTTACTGTACAATTTAGTATTAAGCTACAGAATCTTCAAAAGACATGAGAAAAATTGTTTTTAATAATTAATGGGCGCAAGAAAGAGAAAAATCCCCTTTTTAAATAACATCGTACATGTAAATAAGATGGACAGCCTGTAACTTTTTTCATGAGGCTGTTGACAAACTGGCACTTTTCTTTTAGCACAAAAATTATGGCTTTCTGGACCAAACAGTATTAAACAAATTGTGTGTCTAATGTAATTTGATTTTTCACAGGCCTGAGGTGTAGGCCTACACATGTGACACACTATGGGCTCGAGAGATAATTGCTCCCCACTTCCGTACAGGGGATTTTTCTCTTCCTTGCGTCCCCGCAAACTTAAAACCCCTTGCGGTCGTGCCCATGCAAATGGCCTTGCTTTAGCGAATATACCTACAAAATTCTTCTTCTATTATAAATATCATCTTTAAGGTCGACATTTGTAAAATTAAAGTTGAACTTGTTGCAGCATTACGAGCAAGCAGCCGACTACTTCAAGGGGGAGGAAAGCAATAGTTCGGCCAACAAGTGTATGCTTAAAGTGGCCCAATACGCCGCACAGCTGGAGAACTACGAGAAGGCTATAAAAATATACGAAACTGTAAGTATGGATTTTATAGGTTGTGCAACACAAGTTACTGTAAAACAAATCAGCTGTGTAGATTTTAAGCCAGTAAGGTGTAATGAATAATGGTGGTAGCACTTCTTAAAAGGATTGTGTGCTGCTGGCGGCCATTTCGTATTGCACTAGATACAGTGAAGACTCAAACCTAACAAACCCATGTTTGAAGTAGTGAAACTCCAACCAGTAGGCCTACTACCTCAAATCCAGGCTACTGATATTTTTTATCAGGCTTGGGTTAATCTTGTTTCCCAAAACTTACATATTGTATTTTAACAAAGCATTATTATAGTTTCTTGAATAAGTTATAATCTATTTACTATCCAGCTTTCAGTATAAATAGGTTAGGTCCCATTATAGCTGATTTTGTGTTTCTTGTGCTTGTGCCATGAGAGAGAATTCCCTATTGTGGTCCTGCTAGGCAATTCCCATACAACCTACTATTCCCACACACCAAACACTTAAAACCAAAGCTAGAAATAGACAAATAGACAATTTATTCTAGTTTACACAAAAATATGTTTGTCCATCGCAGGTAGCGTCCAATTCGCTGGAAAGCTCGCTGTTGAAGTACAGCGCGAAGGAGTACTTTTTCCGAGCAGCTCTGTGTCACTTGTGTGTTGACATGCTGAATGCGCAGCACGCTCTGGAGCGCTATGTCGAGCTCTACCCCGCCTTCCAGGACTCCAGGGAGTACAAACTACTCAAGGTAACAATAATGTTCAGTGTTGCACAACGTCAAAATGTCACAAAACCAAAATATTATTTTTGAGCTAAATTTGTTTGCACTATGCCAAACCCTGCTTTTTCAAATTGCGACTATCGCAAACTTAAGTTCAGAAGTTATTTAATTTTTTTAGCGATATCGATTTAAAGCTGGAAAAGCTTGCAATGTTGCCACAAACCTCGCCAAAGTTGGCAAGTTCGATGTGCTGTTAGCGATGTAAGTAACAACCATAGGGTTGTTGAAGATCCTAAAGAATGTTTCAAGAATGTTAGAAAAGGTACCTATTGATTTTGACGCAAATGTCAGAAAGACTTTTGATTTTGTCAAAAATGTTGGCGATATCAGCAATGTTGCCCAAAATTTCCTAGAATCAAGTGATGATGATTGGAACGCCAACTTAGCAATATCCCGACAAATGTTGGGGAATTCAGTGATACCATGATTGTCGCCAAAAGTGGTAATATACTTAACGTTGTCTCTATTGATTACGGCGACTTTTTTCATCTTCAACATATGCTGTCATCATCATCTCTCGTGATGTTATCTGATGGTGGCCTTAATGCAAACATCTTTTGTGATTGCAGCTAAACAAAAACCACAATCACACCTTTTTCGGCATTAATACTTTGATTTGATAGTATTAAATAAGTCTGCTTATTTTATAGTCAATGAATAGTCATTTATTCCATCTTTAAACAATACAACATTGTGATTGATTTCGACAAAAATAACTACGTCCTAATTTTGGCTACATTGTAGTTGACAATAGACAACATGGCATGCTATAGGCCTAATATTTTAATTTAGTTCTGAGGATATAAATAACATTTTTCAGACTTCTTAAACTACACAGAATAACATCACAGTAGATATAAATTAATATCACAGATTGAGATTGGCTGCAACAAATTAATTATAAACATGAAAACTACGAACAATAGACATACACAGTGTAAATGATTGATAACTGAGATAGAATTTTTAACAACTAAAAGATGACAATGAAAAATAATACTGAATGGAATTCTAATAATAATCAACAAAGATAAAAAAAGTTTAATGAATCTGCAAAATTAATGACTTGTAAAACTATATTTCCATGTTTAAAAAATTCTTTGGTACAGTAAAAGGGGTTTGCAGAAAGCCAGACAGACAGTTTCTTTTTGAAAACCTTAAAAGGAAGTGATCTTGATTCACAATACAGGTTGTTAAAAAAACCTAATTTCTGACACAAAATTACTTTTGACAGTTGAGTAGTCTACACTGCGGCAAATCAACCAGACTTTTGTTTCTGGTATTATAACTATGTACATCTTCACGTATAAAAGTCTGCTAATGCAAACAGGATTTGGTACTGTTAGCTTAGACTTATGGGACTCTACTATGTGCTATTTGTGTGTCCAATCCTTCTCCCTTTATGTATTCCTAAGCTGCTCTTACAGAATCCTGCCAAGTGCTATTTCCTCCAAAAAAACATAATATATTATTGCGTTTCTCACTCTCCACAGGTGCTGATTGACCACGTAGAGGAGCAGAATGCTGACGGATTCACAGAAGCCGTGAAGGATTACGATTCCATCTCCCGGCTAGATCAGTGGTACACCACGATCCTCCTTCGTATCAAGAAACAAGTCAACGACAACCCCGACCTACGTTAACCCACCTCAGCGTCTGATGCTTGTAGTCTAAGCGCATGTCACGTTGTTTTAAAACCGATCATATTTTTTTGTAAAACAATAGATCCTACGCCATCGGTCTCAACTGTACATTTCACAACGGGCACTGTACACCATCGGCTACGGAAATTTAACTTTCTCGCTGTATTCGTTAAAGTTTAACTAAGCATGTTTAGCGTAAGTGACTTAAAAGCGACTTGTGAAAATTACAATATTGTTACTGTAAGTTGTTAATACGTGAGAAATTATGATTTGAAAACCATATTTTATGAAAATCTTAAGTTAAACAAGGCATAAAAACCAACTGGGCTATTTTCAAACTTTGTAAATGGTAGAGGGGTCGATTTAGTGTGATTTTTGTTTGACTTTTCGTTTATGGCCAAGGTGTAATGACTGTTTTTGCTGAGTTTTACTCTGTTATGTTTTAATTCAGAAATTTATTGCTTTAGAATTTTGTATAAAGTGTATTATATTTTGTTAGGAAATTGCATGAATGCAGTATTCTGCATTGAAGGGGTTAACCGGAAAAATTAGAAATATTGTCTCACAGAGCTGAATTGAACTCCTACGCTTTATGATTACGATGGTTATAGTCGAATATTGAGTTTGTGTGGAATGAGGGGGATCAAAAACAGATGAATCCTAGGTTCTTAAGCCTTAAACTCAGTGTTACGATAATGTTTTGAATCTCAGGCTTCACTTTGTTCCGCACAACTTTTACAGTTCATGTAAAGGAGTGTATCTGATTTATAGCGTAATCTTAAACTCACATAATCAGTTTGGTTTCAAATCAGTTCAGTAAATTTTCTAGTTGTTAAATCAAATTTTTATCTGGATAACACAATTTACCTGTAGAAGTGCAGTTGTTGTTTTGGATTTTTTTAATGAGTCTGGAATTATACATTTTGTTTCAACTTGAAGGTTGAATAACAACATTTGTTAACCAACCAAGGCCAAGCCTAGTTGTGGATGCATTCTTAATTACTTTTCACTAAAGTTATTGTATAAAAGAGAGTGTGCAAAAGAGGTGTTGATAAAACTATTTTTGAAACGTGTGCCGTTTTAGCCAACCTGTTTGAAAACCGGTGTGCAATTTATTTTTAATGTAAACCTACTCTTTGTTGTTTTACAATGTGTTGTCTTTCATTAGTTACGAACTGCAATCATTTTGTTATCTTTCATCAATTTTGCTTATTGGAAAAACTCTGAAATGTCCTTCAAAGTATTTTTTTCACAAGTACTAAATGTTTAAGAACAATAATCTGTAAAAATTCAATGGAAGATAATTTCTCGGCCAGTGTTGAATCTTTTTTTCCAATTAAAGGTATAGTTTGGTTTCAGTAACTTACAAATATTCAAGATTGAAGTGCCGTGAGTGAAGCACCCAATCCTCCGCATACAATACAGTAATAAGGCTTACACCTCAAAGATAATCTTGCGTAACTGTTTCATTAACCAAGTCACCAGCCCCCACTGTAAAAATATACACTTTTTAAACTAAGCACGTATTGTAGCAAAGTAAATCTCGAGGTGTGATTGCTTTTATCATCTTGCACTGCTCGAGAATATCTTTTATAACATTCCTAACCAAATATTACGGTTAATATTTTTTTATCGATTTCATTTATTTTCCATAAACTACAGTATAACTTATCTACGACTCCTAAATGTGTTTAGATTAGATAATAGGACTTGCACTGTGTTGATTCAAATAATTGTATAGTTATTCCATGTATATAGTCAGTTATCGGAATAGTAATAAAATGTTTTTCGTTACTTGTTTGTATGGTTATACTTTGTACAGGTAAATCTTGCCAGCATTGTATAAACAGGTCATATTTATATTAGTGGTTGGTGAGCTTGAAATTCAGTAATAAAAATACTGGCAAATCTCTAATTATCACAGCCGTTTGAATTTTCCCCCTGTTTACTCTTTGAAAACTGGATTGATGTATTTGTATCGCCTTTTTAATTTTTTACCATTTTTGTAACTGAATAGTTCAAAACCTTACTATAAAAATGAACATAATCAATTGATAGCCCAACGGTATCTTGCATCTGGGTCCAGAAACAACCTTGCTTGGAATCAAACCAGTGACCTTCAGATATGAAGGCGAGTACTTGATACAACCATAGACTAACCAACACAAGTAGACTTCTCATCCCATTGTAAATTTTGAAGCACGTTTTTCGTGTCTAGTTCATGTGACACAAAGGCACTAGTGTCGATGACACTTTATTTCCATTATTTTAGGGTTAATTTCTTGATTTGTGCTTAACTGTTTGGTTATATAACTAGGGGACAAGTTATTGTTTATGATTAGATCGTATTATTTGGTTAAACGAGGTTTTAAATGGCTGTAATAACGGGAAACAAATTGTAAACAAAACACGACCTCTACATAAACCGTACATGAACTAATAATAAAATTGTCTTCAGCTGTTCCATAAGGATAAGAAATCTACTAAGGGAGTATGTTTTATCTATGATACAACCACTCCTACCCAGACTGGCTGGACTTGCTGGACACTCCTAGAAATTGCTGGACTATTCTAGTTCAGCAAACAAAATGTTACAAGCCAAGACAATATGCAAGCTGTCTGGCCAGGATTGTTTAATTTGTACAATAATTATCAACTACAGGTCCTTTTGTGAACAGAAAAAATTTATTTGAGCATGACTCAACAAACCAGATAAAAACAGAAAGTTGTTCAATGACATTGGGTGTCATATTGGATACCATTAGGTTTGGTTGTAATTCATTGCTCATCGAGAGATTAGGTGTTACCCTGGTTATAAGCAACACCATAGAACGAGGATTCATATCCTGCCTGGATGTGACCAATGTTTGAATAATAAATTTACCTACATTCCATCAGGACAAGTCTGATGTTCATGAGGAGTTCACCAGTCTTTGTTAGAGCTTAATGGAGAAGGCCCGCCTAAAACAAATGGTTGTTCAGCAGGGTATAGGCTCCTGGTATGAAATTTGTTTGAGCAAAAATGCTAAAATTGTATTGTGAGAGTGGTGGACTCGTGGTCCAAGCACTCCGAAGCTTATTGTGCATCCAACTTGCCACTAACTGGGTAAGTATATGCCTGTGTCCTTGACTAGGTGCAGGAGCTTTTGCCCATGTTAGCGTCTGGTTCATCACCTCTGGCTGCTTTAGACCAAACAGTAACATAGCCCTTCTCCTAGCCCCTTAGCCCCTATAATAGCCCCCACACCCCACCTCCACTGGCTTGTCTTATAAGAATTTGGATTCATATTTTTCTCATTATCCTTGGTATTAGAATACTAATAAAAAGTATTAAGTATTAATACTTGAAGTCTAGTGAGTAGGTAGTTGCCTTATTGTTCTAGAATGGGTAATTGGGTAAGTGTTTGGGAAACGATTAACGAACTATAAGCAACTACCAATATGAAAAAGCAACTTATTAATTTTCAGTTAGATTGAAAGAACGCAGTATTATGATTTATTTTCAAACGTTATATCAACAGCAATATTTATTCTGTATTACTAATATTTGGTCAAGAAGGTTTCTTTACGTACATGATCAATGGCCGCAAATGACTATTTACAATGTGCTTACTCTGTGTTTCAAAAATCTATTGCGCAGGGCCCAGCTGATTATAGTTACCATGACAACGCAATGCAAATGCAAGCAAACAAATCAAATAGGCATGGCAAGATGAAGATGGCATTTGCATTTGCATAGTAACAAACAAGGAAACAAACAAAACAAGTGCTGTAACTGTCTTCGTCTTCGTGTGTGTGTGCCTTGCCTTGCCTTCTTCGACTTAAACTTGGCCGAAGCCGGTGGATACAGATGACAGTCTCCACAATATTATGATTATTTTTATTTACTTCCATGCAATTTCGCCAATCTCTTACACTAATCTCATTGTATCAAATAATATGTCCTATAGGATGGATTTTATTTGTGATTATATTAGATTGTTTTAGTGGGTAAATGGCGAGGAAGTAATTACCTATATTTTAATAACTAATTTGGTCTGTATAGTTTTCTTCTTTGAGCCTAATTCTTGGATTCATTATGGAACTTTGGGAAGATAGGGAGATTCGTTTTGATGTCCCCATAGCGTAAGTAATTTTTTCTATCTTTTCATATTATTTACTTTGTTAGGCTACTATCAGTGGTAATAACTTAGTTGGTCAAATGAAGTATAAGCTAATAATATACATTGGTTTGCTTACAGCTTACTTCACACCCTTCCTTAAGTCAGTTTATTATTATTCAATATTTTCCCAGTTACTATAATAACCAAGTTGTTTTTTAGCCTAAGTCCTATTGTCAAGTGACTGCTATGTAAATGGACAAGTTTTGGTTTTATTACAACTGATATTATAGGTAGCCATTAAATACATTTTAATCGTGATATTCCTGATGAAATTGACTCTGGTGCTGGAATTGCTTCTTATCTTCAAAAAGTTTATAACTAGCCTATACCGGTAAGCTGGATATACAGCTCAGTGCAGTAGAATGTTATGAAAACTTACAACGTGAATATAGCCTAACAACCTAGATATCGGCCCACCAGGGCTGCCACCCCTCCCGAATCTGTCGGGACAGTTCCGATTTTGGTTCCTTATGCCCGTATATAAGCCTAAGTTAATCTGGGAGGGAGGGGGGTATATATCCTGATTTTTTCCTAATCAAAGGTAGCAATCATGGGTCCATCTTAATTTTTCCTCAGAATATTTGTTCTCTTTTCAAACTTTACTACTGCAGATTCAGCTTGTCCATTGCATAAGTAGCACAATTAGGCATATTTTCTAAAAATTGTACTATTTTTCAAACTTTCTTATCGACAGATTTTATAGGTACCGTATCTTTAAAATTATGCATGGTTTTAGCCAAATGAAAATGAGATCTGGGGAAAAAGTCATAGATCGGCTGGACTTTGTGGAAGATACAAAAGGAAATGGAGGGGACAAAGGAAGATTGATTGTTACAAACCTGAGAATTCTCTGGCATTCACTGACAGTCGCAAGGATAAGTCTATGTGAGTTTTAAGCGATTAGTATAAAAAATAAATTATGAGTTTACAACTGAATAAACATCAATAACAATAAATTGTGGACTTTATTTTCAATAGATCTGGCGTATTTTTTATTGAATATTTTTAGGAGAATAGGCTACCAAAATTTTCTCTTGAATACCGTATTGATTTTATCGACTTGGTACATTAATTTTGTATTAGGCCTATCAATGCCAGTGGAGATACAATTTTTTTATTCAGAATAATATTTTACTCTACATGTTGATGACATTTGACACCAGAAAATTTAGTGCAGTAGCTAACCAATTGTAAAAGCAAAGCACCTATCTTTGCCGTAGCCAAACTTTGAAATACAATGTCATGAGTTACAGTGTAAGGTGGTAAATTCAGGGGTGCCCAGAGGGGGGGGACCGTGGCACGTTTGCGCCACAGGAATTTTTGGGGGGGGACTTCTTTAGGGAGATTTTGGGGGGGGGATATTTTTTGTTAGCTGTCATAATGAATGTAGAATTTTGTATACCCTAATCAGACTGAAAAACTTTTTCTAAGTAGCTCACTATCAACACCAACAACATTCTGCCATTCGTAATTAAAATTGCTTCTAAGAATGGTAAAACCATTGACTATATAACCACAAGTTGTGGTTATATAGTCAATGGTAAAACGCACCTTATCAGACAATCCTTAATATGTACTAGTGTCGGCTTTTTTTATTCTGTGTTCGCTGACTTTTACTTGCTACATATGTTTTGGTACCATCGTCAGTCTTAGGCCTTTAAAAAGATCCACTTCTGGAGGAGTCGTCAGAATACGTTACAAACATTTAACACAAAACGATTACAGATATGCCTTATCAATGCACAAGAGCACATTGGCACGGGCAGGACTGGAAGTAAACTGAATCAGTTCAGGTTATGACGGACCGACGGGGTCTCTGGATTGTCGTCTGTTTTGTGCGTTTTCAAAAGCTGATATTGGACTTTTGTTGTAGTGACTGAGAAGAGTGTTGAAAATATAACGGGATTCATAATTAATTTAGTGTTTTCACTCAAAAATTGTGTGCTGTCCCTAGTTTTATTTAATTATATACCGGTATTCCAAACTCTTTCAAAGTATTTAATAAATTTCTTTTCACGCAGTAATGTAGAATTTCGAGACCATCATTTTTATCCAGCATAAAAATTGGTTATTATTGTCAATAGTTTTGAATGGAAAACTCAATTATGAATCCCATTATATTTTCAACACTCTCCTCTGTCACTAAGTTACAATTAGTCCTAACATCTGTTGAAAACGCAGACGACAATCCAGAGACCACGTCGGTCTGTCACATCGATGTATATAACCTAACGTCTGTCATAACCTGATTCAGTTTACTTCCAGTCCTGCCCGCAGCAATGTCCTCGCATGAATTGATAGGCCTATCTGTAATCGTTTCGTGTTTAGTGTTAAATGTTTGTAACATATTCTGACGACACCTCCAGAAGTCGATCCTTTTGTAAGTCTGACGATAGTGTATGTTACATATGGAAATCTAAATATGTTAAAGAACCGCCAAAACATATGTAGCAAGTAAAATACGACACTACCGTATATATATTATTAAGGATTGTCTGACAAGATGCGTTTCGACCACTATTAGTCATAAAAGGCAATCCTGGGGCTATCAAAACGAATAGATTACTTCGTCACAAAAACCTTTTGTGCTAGTGGCAATTAAGGTATTTTGTGTATTTTGCCTGGCAATTAATTTTTGTAGAAGGCAGCCTGGGAGTGGCGAGCAACAAGTCTGCCCTATTTCGTGACTCTCTGCCTATAATTTTGAAACCAGATACTTTTGGTCAAAGTATTATTAATGCACTTAAAGCTGTTTGAATTCTTAAGCCCTGTAAAAATTAACGCCATCTATCTATATATATAATACACTAAGCCGATTTTTGTAAACAGAACTCCTCCCTCATTTTTGGACTGATTTTGATGATTAAAGTGTCAAACAAATGGCCCTGATCTGTAATTTTGCAAAGTGTTTTTAGTTTTTTGATATCTTTATTAGATTGGGCAGGATCTTCCATCAAAGTTGGGTTTTCTCCCATAAGATTAACATGGGGGAATCTAAATATTTAATTGGAAACTTTGTCTCCACTAATTTGAGAGAACGGCTGGGCGTAGAAACTTGGTAGAAGTGTCCAAAGAAAGGTCTTGGTCTGTAGATGAGTTATCAAAAGAAAAACGAAGTAAATTCGCTTAGGGCTCTGCCCCAGAAGCCTTTAAAGATCCCTCCACAGATTTGTTTACGTTTTGGCCATGTGGATAATAATTTTTAATGAAACAGCTGTTAATTTTAAAATTGTATTTTGAACAACACACATTTATCGGGAGTTAGAATTGTCCAAAAGAAGAATTTCAATGTTATTTTCTGATTTTAAAATTGATTTTATTCTGTATCATGTCATTTGCATTATTTGTTGCCAATGAAGCCGCACGACCATATAAATGAGGAGGCCCCTAACAGTTCAAGAATAAAATCCAACTTCACTTCAAGTATATTCCACTACACCTAACATTCTGTAGAGAGATTATATTGACAACTTTATGTAATTGATAAGGCTGAGACAACTAACTGACATCCCCCATGTCAAGGAATTCCAGCTTTAACAGTAACCCCACAACAAATTTCATAAAACATTGCTAGAAGGTTATTCATTGGCACAGAAGTACGATATGAACTGAAGTGACGTGACGAAGGAAAACTCAAACTTACACTGTAACGAATATACCTCCGTTTGAAGCTATAACGTGTCTTCCCAACAAACAGAAATTTTTTTTCAAATAAAATCTTAATCTGAGAGGGGGATGGGCACCTCTGGGTAAATTAGTATCGTCTTCACAAATACAATTAAGTTTAGGTATTTGTTAAATTGTGGTGACTAATGTTCATATACTAAAGCCTACTAAACTATTGTTTTTATTCCAGCAATCGGTTTTAATTGCATGCTCTCCATTACCACGAAAGTTGTTAATTCGGTGAGCCAAAAGTTCAAATTAAGCACATAGACATTTGTAGACCTATTGCACATGTATTTTTATTTTTATCTCTGTTCATACAAGTAGCATGATACACATTCTGGATTTGTATGGTTTACTTATTTGGTCTCGTTTATTATTTCCTAGTACTAACAATATACAACTAATTTCTACAATCATACACCTAGCCGACTCAATTGCTGAATTTTCTAAATAAAAAGTGGCCTACCTAATGGATGGCAATTTCACATATAAGCTTAAATAACTATCACATGCCAATATTTGTTTTTCATTTTATCTAACTTTTTATTTTGTACAGTTACAAAATCATTTATATTAATTACCGTATATCTTTAATGAATAAAGTATTATCGCCTACCGTACCCATTTCACATTTGCTATGTGGTTCTGCTCCTAATCTTTTTCTGAACACTATTTTTCCAGAAACTTCGAGGTACAACGGAGGCACTCTACATTTTGACAAAGTATGGAAGCTCTCGGTTCGAGTTTATTTTCACAAATTTAGTCGCTGGAAACACCCGACACTTTACCTCAGTCATGGGAGTTCACAAGTAAGGCTATATTTTGTTCGATAAATAATGTCAATAATATCATTGACATTACATTAATTATATTGGTTTTGTATAATGCAAGTACTTAGACTTCTCAGTCTTTAAAAATCTGAAGCCGAAGTCTGTTTTGATGCGTTTCACATCTGGTTACATTTTAATGCACTTCTCTACATGATTCTCTGTATTTTAAGATTATGTTTACAACTGCTAGAACCAACTAGCAATAGTTTTAAAATGGCTTTATTGGTTCAAATTGGGTTTAAACTGGTTAGATATTTATAGCTATAGCTAATAACAATAACCAATCAAAAATACTTTTATATACTGGATACAAAACTTACCTTTATAACTTTCTTTAGCTGATCAATAATGGTAAAATATCCATACGTGAGTATTAATATACGTGGAAATATATTTATATCTATTATCATACTTTTGAAGGGGCAGCACACATACACAAACACCACACACACACACACACACACATGTAGACGGAACCTTATGTTTCAAAATTGCAAATAGAATTCATAATTTACTGTATACCATGCTGTATTCAGTGGCTTTAGTATCATATTGCAAGGAAAACAATTTAAATTTTGTTTTAAAAGCTCACATAGATTGGATGTACGGTAGGTTAATGATGGTACATCATTAAACGTTTATTCCTCGGCCATTAAACAATTTTTTTGTCTTTGAGTATTTTTTAAATTTAGTAAAAGTTTGTTTGCAATTTCCCAGAAGATTTTACGTTAACATGGTACCGTATTCATGATGTTCGTGTCGAGGAAAATTCTTGTGTTTAAATTAATGTTATTTAAAAATAACATGTTTTTTTTTCCAAGGGCATACCAGTCTTCTAGAATCTACCGAGACATGAAACTAAGAGGTGCCGTAGTCAGAGATAAGCAGTTAAGAATACTACCCCTTGAGTCCATTTACACAACGGTAGACGGGATTTGGAATCTCTCTAGCGATCAGGTAAAGAACGAGAAAACTTAAATTTGTACTTTCATCCCTATCTGTTGTTTCTATCAAGCATGTAGGTTATTTCAATTCAGTAAAAAACAAGTAGTCTACTTTTTAAAAGTAACATAGACCATAGTTTGGTCTAAGTTAATAACTTTTAAATGCAGTATTTAAAATTAAACGTGTTAATATCAGCATTGCGATTTTTTGACTGTTGGATGTAATTTTGTCTGGATTAGGTTTATTTGTAGAGGGTGGATTAGGCTGTGATATAATATGTGGAAGGAACCCCTAGATGAAAAAGATCCACTTAATGCCTTAAAAAGGTTTTTTACATTGTAGGCAAATAATTATGTTCACAGCCGATGAAAAAAATGCACATAATCGGAAAAAGTGGAGGCAGTTGGTAAGGCCAAATACCTTTTAGCGAATTTCCCTATAGGGAAGTAGCTATTACCGTAGGTCTCATGGTAAGACTTAGGCCCGGGACCGATTTACTTTTTCATTTTGCGCAGCGAACGAGCTCCAACCTAAAGGTGAGTGAGCGTAGCGAACGAGCTCCAACCCAAAGGTGAGTGAGCGTAGCGAACGAACTTCAACCAGGACGTGATTGAGTGATGCGAACGAGATCATCTTGAAAATTAAACGTAACGGTACTTTCTTTCCATCGGTCTGTCTTAGGGGAAACCTATAACTTAGGTGATACGAAGTTCGCCGGGTCAGCTAGTATATATATATATGTGTCCGTGAACACGATAACTTGAGTAATTTTTATCCGATTTTGATGAAATTTGGTTTGAAGGTGTAAGGCGGGATAAACTTGAATGAGTTCGCGATCCAGCATGATTGGACCATGGGAACAGGGTTTTATGGGGTAAAAATTGGTTTTTCTCACTTTTGACCCTCAAAACACAAAATTTCCCAATTTTTCTCTAAAACTTCTTAAAGAGCTTAAAAAAACAAACAATTCAGTATATCAAAGTGTTTTTGTACGGTTATTGGTTACGGAGAAAACTAAAAAAATGGTAAATTTAAAATTCCCATGTTATTCTTATGGAGAATATTGTAAAATGTTGTAGTTTGCTTGTTTATGGATATCTTTTGATCAAACTTGGCAAATATATTCATTTTATACTAAGCAATAATTATTTTACTTAAAACACACACTTTATTAGTTTCCTTGTAGCAGCAAACCTAGGTACTCGTTAAACCTAATGTTATTTAAATAGATCAATTGAAAATCAATTCAGCCAAATGGAAATTCGCTTAGGCGTCAGGTTTGCTGCGGCGGGGGTATTTGGGTATGAAAAGTTTTGGGAGTAAGAGGGGTATAAATAATTTTGGGAGTAAGATTAACTTACCTAAACTATATGCTGACAATTCTATACTTCCATCTACTCATTTATTAGCCAACTAAGACAAAATTGTTATAGGGAAATGTTGGATCATTTATAATCACAAACATCCGTCTGGTCTGGTACGCAGAAATGAACGAGAACTTCAACGTCTCACTGCCATACATCTGTATAGCGACGGTAAGTAAATTACTTATTAGGTACTGCTTTTGATTTGCATTTATAAGATTTGATAGTTTTTTAAAGTAATTTATTCCCAACAATGTTTTACCATTGACTATTGGATACTGAAGTAGCCATCCCATCTATGTGAAACAGCTGTCGCCATTTTTGTTGTTAAAAAAGAATATAGTTATGTGAGCCAGTCACAGAATGTTCTAGGGACTAAAATTCCATTTTCTACCTTATTTATTTGGCCCTGGGCCATAACAGTTGTTATAGTTCACCATAAGTCAATCCATTAGTTTGAGTTTGTTAAAAAGTCTATATTCGACAGAAATTAGTGATTTAGATCAGTGCAATATATCGGTGGCTCACATCAACTAGCCTACGACAATTTTGATTAAAAAATTTGCGACAACTTTAACATGGAAATGTAATGCCTAGTTGCATTAATAGTCAAAGGTACTACTCTACTTGTTTTAAGAGTAGCCTTCAGAGCACTCAATGATCTACCCCTTTCCCTTGAATAAGAAAGTTTTAACTCACCGATGATGATTTAACTACGCAGGTTTATGCACTGTTTCGTAAATAAATTATCATCATATTATTCACTAATGATGTATTCTTGTCTTGGACATATTTACGATTATTTTTGTATTGTGTCTATGAATTTCCTCTTTTATTGTGAATTCCACATTTTCATCGTGAAAGATTTTACCAATGTTAACACATCATATTACACACTTTCCTGCAGATACGAGTGAGGGAGTCAAAGTTCGGACCAGCGCTGGTGGTGGAGAGCTGCGGTGTCAACGGTGGTTACGTGCTCGGCTTCCGAATCGACCCTCCGGCCAAGCTGCAGAGTGTTACGAGAGAGCTCATCTCACTGTACAACATCCATAGTCAACAGCCGGAGTTTGGCGTACAGTATTCACTTAGTGTCCAGGTGAATTTATGGTAATGGTTTATTTATTTTAAATGCGAGACGATAAAATGTGATCAAACTTAGTTTAAGACCTGGTCCTGACATTGCTGATGTACATTGCAGACTCCCCTGGCTGAGGAGGCTGCTGTAGTGGCAGAGGAAGTACAGGAAGTAGATGAATCAGCTGCTGAACTCTCTACCAGTCTGGCCACCTACTGCAGTGAAGGTAACTAAATACTATGCTTCAGGTTCACGTTTTATGTAATACAATGAAAAACGTTTTATTCGTTCTTTCTTACTTTGAAAACGGTTTAAATCAGAATTTTCTCTTGTTCTATGTCAAAATAAAAGGTAGTTCAAATATCATGGTGAATTATCCTGGGTTTTCAAAGATTTTAAACATATTTAATGATAACTGGGGTTTGATAAGAGGAAATATAAAAACAAACTGGCATTGACTAAAATTCCACACAATCTGGTCAAGGTCATTCTTCTCCTTCCTTACCACCCTTAAAATATCAACAACATAAATTTGCTATTGGATATCATCTTCAAAGTCAAATCAACCTATCTTTTACTACTCTTGACTACTGCTGAAAATAACTTAGGTAAAGTGTACTGTTAAATTGACTGAATATATTTGTTTCCAGCACAGTCGGGCAATTAAGAGTGTGACTTAATTTTCAACCCTTATCAAACTGATTTAATTAAAATTTTTGGATAGTCAATTATTTTCCCAGTTTCTTGGTGTTAGAGTTATTATAGTTCGACTTTACAATTTTGAATTTCATGGAAGCATGTTGGACTTAATTTTTATTTGGTTTTTAAGTTGATTTGGTCTCAATGTGCACATACCGTCCGCCGGGGGCCAGTCAATTTGTGGCCACAGGTGTTTTTGTAAAAATGTGTTTACGTGTTTTTAACTGTTCTTCGTTTTGTATTTATTGACTTTATGACGACCTCTTCGGAGTAATTATGTGTCTATTCAACGCCTGATGATGACCCCTTTGATGGGTTGAAACCGGTCGGTCGCCTTTCATCGGTGACTTTTTTTATCAGATTGACGGATTATAAAGTATTTTAACCTCTAGTAATAACTTAAGTTTAAATGTATTTATTTAGATACATTTAAGTTTCAATTTGGATTGTTCATTTTTCATCATTGATATATATATATATATATATATATATTGTATCAACAAAGAGATTCAGGATGTTTTTCTATCACAGGAGTGGACAAGGAAGATGTGGCGCCGGTATACAACAGTCAGCTGGGATTGGCTATAGAGCCGTTGCGACCCGGTTACACTCTCGCAGACTTGTGGCAGATCACTCCCCCACCACCTCACAACCCTCACACACCCGTCTGATGCGGCACTAGACATTCCATCCTCGTGGTAAAGTTGTTAACAGTTTTTAAAATTGAAATGGACGTAGTTCAATTGAACCACCAACAGATTGCGCTTAGGTATAACACAGATTTGTGTTGAATAGGCTAACTTTTTAACCAAGTCAAACTGATAATGATCTATTTCAAACCCCGTTTCTTTCAACTAACTCGGTAACAAAAGCCAAGAGATTATTTAGAATTTAAGACAGAAGCGCACTCTGTAAGTGGTACATTTTACTATGTTTTTTTATGTTTGATTAGAAGTATGCTACAGCTGATCCATATACATGTCTGCTTCAGTAGAAAATTGTCAATTGTGTAACCAATCTGAGTGAAGGATTTGTTTGAGGGTGTATAACTATCCCTAACTACTTTATTTTCCTAAGCCTCTCGTTTGCCCTAGTAATGTCAACGTTCTCTGAGCTAGACCTGGTGTCAGCCACAAGTGTTAAGCGAATTTCACCTCTGTCGCAAATCTAGATCGATCTGTTTTAGCCAAACAGCCTATTCTAATGTATAGAATTTAAGGTTAAAAAAACATTCAGTAATCCATGGAAAGTTTTAGGGTTACTGTTTCCTTCGGTCCTTGGTTGGTTAAGAAATATTCGCACACTTGTACCGATTTGTTTAGTTTATAAGAGTTTAGTCCAAGATTTCTAAACGAGAGGGAGATTGTTTATTTGAGATAGGCTAGTTTAAATCCCCATCTCAACATGCATTTTGTTTATTTGAGCAATTTTTGTGGCTCTATTGATCATTTTTGATCAACAACTTTGTAATTAGGTTCAATGTAAAGTACACTTAAATCTACTATTTTGCAAATTCATCAAATTCGCAAATATCGTCACTTAATCAAAAACAATCCCTGACCGTTGCACATATGGAAATAAATAATTTCTTATTCTGATATTTTCATATGGATCATCTGAAAATGATCTTCTGGGGATATATTTTCCCGTGGCCTTACTCCACCGTATTTTAATGTGGCTCTGGTTTCAACATTATAAATTCGCCAAAGGTATATTGTTGGGTTATTATGGTATTAACGCACAGTTATAACAATCAAGATAGTGTTTATTATAAATTATATACACATATAAAATGCATATTAGTTGTAACCAGTTAAACATGTAAAAACAAAAACGAAACATTAACATACAAATTTGTAACAATTAGCCATGTGGTTTTTAGGAACAAACTATTTTAAGTATGGCGTTAAACTATAAATTACAAACATTAACTTATAAAATGTATAAAACCTAGTTACTAGTTCAACTTTGTTTTATGACAATGTTAAGATTGACTTAATTATGTGGTCTTAGGATTCAAAGAATAAATTATATTTGAAATACAGATGTGTGTACCTTCACTTTAATATCCATTTCTTGCATGTTATTTTATCCGTGTTAGTATTATTTTTCAGTTATAGTTTACAATAATATTTTACATTATTCAGGGTTATCAGTTATTTTTCTTCTACTACATAATATCCATTATTTTTTGTTCTAATTCTCACTACATCTCCGATGGCACTTAACAGTACTTTTTTACGATTCAATGCAAAGCTACAAACCTTTATAATTACTAATGCAATGTTTCAATTCTTGGCATTTTTGCATGAGTACAACAGTTTGCAAGTCAACTTATAATTCCTGAAAATATTTTGACTATTTTCACTAGCATTCATGATAAATGGTTAATAAATTGTAGGCAAACGATTTTTGATATCAACTTCAGTAAATGTCTTATTGTGGATTTGTTATTTAAATATGAGCAGTCTTAATCATCCACTTATCTAAGGCTTGTTATGATTACAGCATTTATAGGTTCAAGACAAATCTAATAAGGATTACTTAATTGATAAGTTTTAAACAAATAAAATAACAAACTTACAAAATTCGAGTTACGTGAACGTCTGTAAGCACCGTAGAAATCCTTCCTTAAAAATATTCTTTGTGCCTCAAAGGCTTTGACTAGGCAAGAACCCCTTGTGAAGTCCACTTCTGGGAAAATTAACGATTCTAGAAGAACCGTTAACCTCCGTCCAAGGGTGTGTGGCGCTCGGCAGCAGGTTGCTGGAGACATGTCTGTCCGTCGCAGAGATGTCTCAGTCATTGGAAGAGTCGTGCACGGTGGTACCACTGGCGTGTCAGGTCCCGCTCGCTCATGGTTGGCACCCGTGGTTTCCGCTCGGGAGTGATTGCTTGGCCTGTGACGCTCAGCCCTTCGACCCACTCCTCCTCGGTGAGGCTGGAGACAAGAGTTTTCAATTTTCCGCTAAATTTGTTCAGTTTGAAATTTTGTCTTACAGAAGTAGCCTATTAGAATTAAAAATTAGACATGATCGAGAAAATGTCATTTGGGGGAGTAGAGAATGTAAAGTAAAGAGAATATAGCAGAGTTTAAGCTTGAGAAATTATTTTTAGGGACATTTTATGAGTAAAATAAGGTAGGAATGAGAAGATCAGAAGAGGTAGTTGAAGACAACTTCAGAGGGAGGCAAAAGTAAGACTTAGAGATAGCTTGGATGATGAGAAAGAAAGCAAGAAGTAAGAAGGATTCCTATGAAAATAGAGGTTATACTGACTCAGTAGGGGGAAGGAGATAAGACCTGGAAGAAGGCCAATAGAGGAGGTGAAGAGGGATGTGGCAAAGAGTGGAGTGAGATGGTGTAAGAAGAGGAAATGAGGAGGGATAGGAAAATACAGAATAGCGTAGTTGATGTAATAACCAGAATAACAGAGAATGAATGTGTATGTACGAAATTGAGAGACATATTTAGTATGTACTATATTAAGTACCAATATTTTTGATAATATTTCTTGACAAAAAGAAATTAACTCATAACCTGAATGTTTAGAAACTAAAAAACAAATAAAAGTTGGAAATTTAAAAGGTTTTTTTTAAATAAAGCTAATGATTTTGAAAACCCACCTGCTCTTGTGCAGACTGATGTTGTGTTCTAGGATTTCTTGGACTTGGACAGAGCCGGGTCTCGACGGGTCTTCTTGACACCTCCCTCCTCTCTGTCAAGCACAAACTACGACCGCTTTAACACAGCTACTCAACCAAAATATATGAATCATGTTGATGTTATAATTACTTTCAGAAGCCTGATAGTAAAGTTCTTCAACTAAATTTGGTTTTTTGACGGATAGTCATGTTAGAAATTTTGAATTTTGAGCCTTCAAGCTTCATCCTAACAAGCTGACTTTGTTAACCTAATGACACTTTCACAAGTCTTGACAACCCCCAAACTTAGATACCTCTAACACCTTTCATCCAATCCATTTCAATATCCAGCCTAACAAACAGGCTTACTAACTTATTCACATCTATATACAGTGTATATAAGATTAATTGAAACTATGTTTTAATGTGTACATATTGGCATACTGTTTCAACAACTCTCTGGCCACCATTAGACCTGAAGTTGGTTAAGATACCATAAAACTCTCTCTTCCTTAGTTGAAAATGTGGTTAGTGACAGTGAAATATTCTAATGTTTTGTGTATATAGTGTACAGTTGTGTGCTTCTTGGGCCAGTTTGGACTTTTCCCATTCAGTTAAGTCTGTTTTCCTCACAAAAGTCCTAAAAACCAAGGCCCTTGTGCTCTATGTTACATTCTAAGTTAATCCTATGTATCGGATAAATCTTTACCTTGCTGTTTTTCTTTTGTCGAGCAGTGCTAGGCGTGAAGTTGAAATCAGGTAGACTTGCTCGCTTCTCTGCTTTTATTTGATCAGTGGATTTCTCGGTTTCTGAAGTACAACAGTGTTGATTTTAAATTTACCCATCTCATGGTGAATAGATTTATTGAATATATTCTAAGCCTAAAAAGTTTCCATTTTAAGGATTCATCCACATTGAATAGAAGACATGTTCGCCTACCTTGATGGGTCTTGAGCAGCACTTTCCACTGACTAGTGTCGGGTGGAGGGTGTTTGCTCGGCGGGGGGAGTGCGTGATGACCTCTGTGGCCCCGCTCCGGGGGCCCGTCTTCTCCCAAACCAGAGTCCGACTGGCTAGTAGCAGGGCCGCGCTGCTGGTTACTGAATCATCAATTCACATTACGAAGTTCCAAATATTAATAAAAATTTCATTTTATAATTTGTTTACACAATTTTAGACTGATTTTGAGATTATTAAAACTATTTTAACCAAATAATAGTATTACATTACTATTCCTGAAAATAGGTGTTTACCGGACGAGTGTGGTCGTTCCCGTGCGAGACGGAGTCGAGTGCGGGATTACCATAGGAGTCCAGTAAACACATTTTGGACGAGTGATGTACGATACTTTACGCCATACTACTCAATAACAAATCTGTACAAATCCTTATGTATTCCCTGTCCCACTGACTAAAGGACTAACAATCACTACTCATAACTAGAGGTTATGTTATTGTTTATAACTACCCATTGCCAAATATAACATAATCAGCTGGTTGGTGTCGGGTAAAAACGCATTACAGTACAGTAGTACGTAATGAAACCCCATTTGATTAAGCTGGTGGCAAACAGCTGTTTCTGGACTAAATCCTTGTGTGGGAAGTTTGTTAAAAACAGTGTAGTGTGGCGTAAAACATATTTACAAAAACCTCATTTCATCTCCTATGATGTTATAGGCAAAGAGTAAAGCACTCCTTAAAAAAATAAGATTAAATCAAGTAAGATTACTTGAAGATTACTCGAAAGCACTTTACTTTACTTTTCTTTGAAATGGCGACCATACAAATGTAGGTATTTTAAGCCAAGTATGAATGGAGATGAGTAGCATGCTCATAAAAACAGATTTCAGAATTTACAGGATGAGAAAAAGTCCTACTTTCACTATTCAAAGTCTATGCAACAAAGCATATGGTTTACCTGAAGCTTAGCCTCATCTCCACATCAGGTGGTGGTTGTGTAGGGTTGCCGCTACTACCTGCAAGTGTCACCGTCCAACAAGCTGTAACAGAGGAGAAATCACTTCCAACAACATCATCAACATCAGTAGTTGATCAATAGTTTCTACAATAATTTTAGTTGTGGCCCGTACAGATTCGTTTTTTGACGGTCTGGACAAGGTGAGGTTCTAAAAAAAAATTGTTATTTAAATTTCCAGAATAAAGATGATAGACTCCAGCCCGGGATTATTTTTCACATTACTTCAGGCTAGACTTATTGGTTGCAACATTATCATTTACATCAAATCCAGTGGGGATTTGGTTGGATTTGAACCCGGGACCTTTCAGGACTGAGGTCCTGTGCTCTACCTGTTGATAAACCATGCATTTCTGGTTCAATACTGGCTCTCAGCATCTTAATGTATCACTATTCACCACTGGCTTTCTGGGA